TAATTTTGGAAAGGAAAACCAATTAAGCCGATCCGAGGAATTAAAAAGGACATAAAATAAAAAGAAACTCTCTCGGTACAGCGACGCAAGTTAATTTATGGGATTTTAATTAAGCTCAAAATGAATATCCTAATCGTTTACATAGTGACAAGCGACAACTTCCGTACCAAGTTTAACCACAATCATCATCTACTCTACTTTGTACCGTAAATGCAGACGTTTTTACATAGCACACGAAATATAACTATAATTGAATGACATAAGAAACATTTCCCAATTATTATATTTTTCTATTATCATGGCTGCATCTGAAACAGATTATTTTGTGAATACAATCATTACGGTTTTGTTCGTACTAACAAGTTATAGTAAGTAAGCAATTACAAATATTGTGTTGTAATCATTAATGTTATAAGGATTTCTTGTGAAATTGAAATAGTGTGTCGAATTGAAAACCAACATAGTCAGTCAGTTTTTCGCATCATCAAGATTGAGTTAAGCTTTATTTCGGAAATAGAAGCACAATCTCGTTAAACTTTCTTCAAGTTAAAATGTTAAAGAGAATCATGGAAAAGCACATAAACAAATGTGTAAATAAAATATGGCTTATTAATCATCTTGCCTAGATACTCATGTTTACATACAATAGACTGGCACATTTGGAAAACTAACTAAAAAACGATTACATTTTCAGTCGGCATGTGAACTAAACCGTTATACACTCCTGAAAGGTTCTATCAACCGACTTGAGCATTGAATTATTCGATTAGAGTCGATTATTCGTTTGTACCCGAAGAACCAATAACTCCTAGTGACATGTCTGTTCTAAATTTATAATACACTAAGTTATCGACGGACTCCAAAAATACCGAACCCTTGGCGAAACGGTACGGGCGTTAACACCGCTATCAGCCGCATAATGCCCAACTTACGCATATGTACCCGACGCCAGGCGATGACTCTACCCACACGTACCGACACACGTCCGCATAGATTCATGCGCCATGCTCACATCTCTATAGCCGGGTATATATGCCGGTGGTATTGTATACCGCGTGCTGTATGAATATGTTGTTCTTACAGTCGCTAGGTCGCTGAGCGTCGCTACTCTACGTTTCACGAGTCTCTAGCGAGCGGCACGAGCTTAACAATCCGCATGGGATATTTATATCGGATGCTTTTTTTAATTCTATCTACCACATGCGAATACACGACTCCCTTTAATTATTCATACGTTGTTTTTTTTACTTATGAGAATAGTGTTGTATATACATAAATTAGTTAAGGTATGTTGCAAGGGGCGAGAAGAGATGTGGTTCTGGCGTTCGCAACATAATGGAAAGTCCAGTAGAGTAGGCACGTGCGATTTTAAAGGTAACCTATTAATTGTTATAAAAAGATCAACGGCGCGCAATGCGGCTGTAGTGTGTACGTACCGCTTTATGCGAAACTTTCCACTTTGGTTCTATTTTGAGATTTTTTCTCTGGCGACGTATTTCGCGACGAGAAGACATTTATAACGAATGTAATCAACGCTTATAAAGTTCGATGAATATCGTCACTGGAAAAGCAAAATACTTAAACGCCAAACATTTATTTGTCGGTTAAGCAATTTTGCCTTCCCAGTGACGAATTATGATATAAATGAAAAAAAAAACTCGTTTTATTAATTATCAAAACATTTATTTACTAATTGCGTAACAATGACAAATAAATAATTATCCACCTCAGTCTTGATAAAAGAATCCATCTTTGATTAAAATGAAAATAAGAATAGGACTTAAATCGCGCCATCTTGTCTTTACTTTATAGCTGCCAATTCAAACAGGATAGGGTGAGGAAAACAAATATTTTTGAAATAATAATTATTTACAAATAAATTTCGTATTGGACTTAAATTCCGCTCATTTCTGCAACACTGTCTGAGTGAGTAGTCATCATTATAACTGCTGCTTCCTCTTATAAAAATAGAACATGTATTTTAAATTGTCCAACAAATGTTATATCAAAAGCAAAATAGGTATTTTGTAACCTGTTTTTATAATAAATTAAAGTTATCATCGTCTTAAAATGTTTATTGTTTGCCGGTAATCATTTTTGATTTGTTGCCTTAGTTAATTATGTCTTCAATTCATAACACTTTCTATAAATATTAATTTTCTCATGTACTTTTCAAATGACAGTTGACAGATCGCGATCATTCGTGGTCATTGACATTCATATATTTTTTTTAAAGTAAATAAGAAATATCAATTTTATTATTAATGTTAAAAATATTGACTGATAATATTCCTGACAAAATTTCTAAGTAGCTCAGACTACATTGTTATTTAAAAAAAAAAAAACATGAAATAAACATGGCGGATAAAAACTTTTGACGCTGCTTCACTAATATTATAATATAAATACATAGGGTCAGCTTTTTCTGTTATATTAAAAATAAAATTGACATTTTTATTAATGTATTCAAAATATTAATACAGAAACTTCTACGTAACTCAGATTAGTCCACACGTGCGAAGCGAGCCGAGCATATTTGTACTCTTGTCAATTCAAGTTCAATATATATACAGCGTGTCGTTACCATCGCGACAATAAATGAACACACATATAGGGGATGACTTTTTAAAGTTGTATTAAACATTTAAATTCTTTAAACATCAATATTTACAGAGTTATTAAATTTTCCAAAACAAAGAATTTTAGAACATCCTTACCTATAAAAGCGCAACGTAAAGTTCATTTGTAAAGGTCACAAAGCATATGAATGGGTTGAATGAATTTAAAAGAGACAAAACATACTGTTAGAAGGAGAGGCTTGTAATACGACGCTGTGGCGCGAGTTGTATAGGATGTTACAAATTTTGTTTCTTTTTTACTTAATTAGTTTTTGTTTGAAAAATATTTTTTTTAATTATGGATTTTGTTTAACGTTAATATTTTTTTATGATTATTGGCAAGTAGCGTTAGACGTGTGTTCATTTATTGTCGCGATGGTAACGACACGCTGTATAATATACAGGCTGTGCCCGCGACTTCGTCCGCGTGGAATTTAAAATAAATAAAATTTCTTAAAGTGGCCTAAGTTACTCCTTATTACATTAGCTATCTGCCAGTTACAGTCCCGACAAAATCGGTCCAGCCGTTTCAGAGATTAGCCGTAAAAAACAGACAGACAGACAAAAATTGTAAAAAATGTTATTTCGGTAAATGTACCGTGTATATGTATGTATTTTATTTATCAGTATAGATCGTGTTCTGTTGTTAAGACACACAACTTAATATGACGAGTAAAGTTAAAAGGTATAGTGCAAATATGAGGACAGAACTGGGACGAGGCAATCCCACCGGGTAGATGTTCGAACGGCGTAATCTCTGTCGTGGCGACTCTTTCGACATGGGGGTGTCGCTCAAAGCCGCGCCAGGCCGAGCGACATCTGCGTCCAACTTCGTCTCGTGCGTGGTTCCCAACAAAGCGATCGGGTGGCGGAGCCATTGTGCGCGTCGCGCGTTACCGCCATTGCGAGTAACGGTAGGCCGCCATTTTCATCCGTCCATGCGATACGGGGTCTGCATCGCGGTCGCGTCACGACGGCGCGGTCCCCCCTCGACTCGATCGCTGCTTCAATTTCGATGTGTATCTTCGTTAATGGCGATATATGTAACGCTCGCCCGCGCGCTTTGAATCCGGATTAAGTCAATACTTTTGACCGTTGCTATGCGCGGATCGCGTAACGGTTAAATTGGTCATCATCAAACCAAATCATTACGGACTTTCGTTGCGGGCTGTTTTGGGTGCATTCGCTTCATGAATGGGACAAACATTTGTGTGACCCACGAATATTTGTCCCGATTCTGGATGCACGTAGAGTCTGGGTTGTAATTATATTTGACCAATGACATACTACTTTCTTTTACATTTATAATTTTATATTCACTGTCAATATGAGAAAGTGAGTTTTCCTTTCATATCATCAAGATCCTTAATGGTTCAACTTTTGATTAACCTTCGTTTTGAATAAGTTTACAAGGAGATAAATGCTTCATTCCTTTAAAAATAATTGATATTTATACACTTAACTTTTTTGTTAATACCAGCAAGCAGCACTTATCGTGTGTTTTGCTTTTGGTAAAACATCGCGATCTCTTTTGTCCAACTGTTTACTTGTCCATTCCACGACGATATTAGCAAAACGTAAACTACTTGACTTTTATGAGGTGGAGCTAGAACAAACCTCCGTGAAGTTTGTCGAAACAATCGGCAGTCAGCGGCACGCGACTCGGCTTGATTGCGTTGTCGCTAATGGTTATAGGTTCGTTACCATGGCGATGTTGTACCTGTCGCGGTACAACAGCCCGATTGGGATTGACGATAACAAACACTGTCCGTGGCTCCTTATCTGGTCTATAAGAGCTTTCGGCACAGAGTAGTATGTAATGCTGCCACCCCTTTATATATTTTAATTTTTATTTATTTAATCTTTATGTACAGACATACATATATAGGTACAAAGGCGGACTTATGGCCATCAGCATTATCCCCCAGTCAATTTTGGAGTGGTCGAGAAAACTGTTGGTTATATATTTCTTACAAATTAAAACTAGAAATAGGCTTGATGAGGGCTCACTAATGAATTTGCATTTTACGTTATTTGTAGCAGTGTGTGAAAGTTATCCCACATGATAGTAAGTGGCGATGCAGCTGTTGACGGGAAACGCACTAGCTCAGTAATAGATCCTAATAACTCTCTCAAAGTTGACTTTATAATCATTATTTTACATTACGAATGCAGTATTCGTAATGTAAATGATCATACTCTACTTCCAAGGTGACGTTATGACCTCAAGTAATATGTTACTTAAGAAATCGCGAGGGTCGTCAGGAATTTAGGTATCATTTGACTACTAGTAAATAAGTTCTCTAGTAAATAAAATAAAAAAAAAACTCGTCCAACGACCCGATATTCCCGATGATGAAAAATTCGATATATTGTCCACAGACTGCGTCTATTTCGAGACGTCGTCGACGTCTCCGTACCAGATCCGGCGGATAGAGGAACTGAACAAGACGGCATCAGGCAACGTGGAGGCGAAAGTCATGTGCTTCTACAGGCGGCGGGACCTGCCGAACCCCCTCATTCAGTTAGCTGATAAGCATCAAAGTGAGTTATCAATCCTCTTCACCCAATTTGAAAGACCTGTACCAATTTGTAGCTATATCGTTGGAACAATTTACGATTGTGGCGGGTAGACTCTTGCCCTAGCAGAAACGATAATTGTTGTGTTTGGTCAAAAAAGAGCTGTTGAGTCGTAGTATGTGTTATTGATAAATTCATTAGACGGCATTTTTTCCCTTTAGACAAGTAAACGTAAAGCATTGTTCATATTGGCCGGAGTAATTAAATACCAATCGGTAGCAATTCTATTCCACCAGCATGAGGGTTACCACCAAAAAAAATATTTTTGTTTTTTTAGTCAGTCTGTCGAATCAAATAATTTGTTGTCAAAACATTTGTGCGTGTGTTTTAACTATATTGAGATTGTTGATTGATTTTACTTCCATTTGTTTCATGATATGTGCATAAGAATTTTGTTTTTTATCTTTAATTCTTATGACAAAACAACTGTATCGTACTAGAAAATTCATAAGATTTCCTTTTTTTATGAAATAATTCCCTTTTTATAAAGTTTTAATATTATGTTTAATTATTATAAATTTAGTAAAAATTTGGAATAGTTGTTAAAAAATTACAACAACAATAGACTTTTAATGTTTCTGAAATAATATTGCATAAGACTAATGGTTGTTACAACGAGGAAGTTTGTAATTAGTGACATTTATATTGTTTCTATCGGACGGGAGCATTAAAAACTTCATTAGAATTTTATAATTTAAATGAAAAAACACCTACTATTTAGAAAACAGCAACGGCTTTTTGAGCATTAAGCCTTGAAATTATCAAATTCAAATAATATTAAATAAGCATCACTTGCCAAGCAAAAAACTCAAACGTTCACTTTCGTTTTTCAATATAAATGCGTACGAGTCGGCAGACCTTTCCTAAAACGCTTTAATCTGCAAACGATGCCACAACACGGCGTCTGAGGCCGTTGCTTGATTCTTTCCTATAAATAGACGATTATACTACATCAAGAATGGCGTCCAGGAACTCTAATACACTCAGCGTGTGTCCAGAAGTTTCGATACGTACATTTAAACACGTCCGCGTATTACTCGATTATATTTTGTGGTAATAACGTATATGGAAAAGTATAGTGTTTCAATTTAAATATTAGTGTGTCCGTTTTATGTTAATGATGTGCCCATTTGCGAAATTTTTATTTATTATTCATTAGGTTTTTTTTTTATTTTCGGATTGGAAGAATTTTTATTGCTATATTAAATAAAAAAATTTAAAAGTGAACGCCAAACATTTTCAGACTATACCTCTCCTCAACATAGCAATTACGTAAAATATTATACGTAAGGATGGAACTAAAAAATTATACTAGTTTTGCACTGAAAAATAATTTAAACTTTTCCAAATTTTGATTTCTTGTTTTTACGCGAATATTATACATTGTGAAATGAAACTGTTTCATGGATTTTATTGCGTTTAATTAGATTTTTAAATTCCCCGACGTTTCGAACCCTTTCTAGCGTTCACGTTCACGCGACCGTTTGTCCCTGTCTGTGCCGTGACCATAAACGCCGAAACACATTAAACGCTATAAAATCCGTAGAATAGTTTCATTTCGCAATTTTCCAAATTTTATTAGTAGAACCTACTCTATTGTGGCTTCGCTAATAAATATCGGAACAATACAGTTGACTTCAAGTCGGTTGAAATCATTCAAACGTCTGACTGCTGCTGTCATGAGTAATAGTTTAAGATCACGCAAATACGACTGTTCGCCTGATAAGTCCACAGAAATCGTTGGCCTTGGGCACGGCAGAATATGTTACTTTGGATCGATACAACAATTGAATTGATTTACGGCGACAAATTTGCCTCGGTGTCGAATTCAAAACGTTCCTCATTCGAATGCATCCAATTTTAGACATTCGTGGAATCACCCACTATGGGGTATAATGGAAAACGAATAATGTATGCGTACAAATTGTAATGGTATCAAATCGCACTGCATATTATACGAGTCGTACCTAAAAGCTTTGAAGTAAAAACAACGGTGTATATTAATGACTTGACTGCTACAGTGAGTTTGCATTATAGCATAATTTCAAGATTTATATCTTGTTTTCTCCATTTGGTTAAAATTTAACTATCATATAATAGTTTTTAATTTTGGACTCGCATTTCATAATTGGCTTTGAAATTTCATAATTTTGTCAGAGGCTGGTCAGCCCTGTGTTGAATGGCAGGGCCTGTGTTTAACAGTTGGTTATAGAGATCTGCTTCACCACTGTGATAATACGAAAATTTCAATAACGTATCAACGTTTTAAACCAAATTTGGAAATTGATCTAATGTTTGTTAGTAAGAAGAACCAAGATCTTCCTTAGACGAAATGTTTAACGCAACGTTTCTTATTTCCACCACGAAATTAATAATGAACAATTTTTTTTTTCAAATATCATAACTAAATCATTTAATTAATTGTGTCAACAACTTACGTAACAGCTCCTGCTGTTACGTAAGTTGTTGACCGGGAAAGTACGGCGGTATCACAAGAAGACCGGATTTATATTTTTACGGGTTTCCCTTTGAGTGAGTCTGTCCCTGTCTTCGGTATGTCAGAGGTAACTGGAGTTCCACACTCAATGGTTGACGACACGCCTGCAACATTTGTATATGTAGTTTTGTGTATGTCCATAGCCGACCACACTTGCCATCAGATGAACCGCATTCTGTGCCTCCATCCTTTTTGCAAGAAATTAAAAAGAAAATGTCAATGCTGTATGAAATAAATCCATACGATTAACAATTCTATTTCATAATGGATCTATACAAAATATTTCAATACTTGTGAAATTAGTCAACTCCGTCACTATTTCGTGTACGGTGACGTTTCAAACGATACACACGTTTCTTTTGCGTTCGATGCTTATTGGTTTGGATTAAGAACTGGAGTGAGAAGATCGACGTCAGCCGCCACCTCGGCCAATCGGGGCCCTTGATGCAAATCACGTGGCGGGCGTACATATCACTTCCGATTGTCTAAAATTATGTGCGGCGATAATGGATTCTCTTTGTTCGCTGGCGATCGTCCTTGTACAACATTTGTGCTTTAAAATTATTGCTTCCTTAAAGTGTAAACATTTGAGTTAACTATACCCCAGGTAACCGATATATATAATGAAAAATTATCAGGAAAATATAGTGAAATTAATCAAAAATTAAATCGTATGTACTTGAAGTGATATTAAAACATGTTAAGTGCAGAGATTAGCACTATAAAAAACTTTAAAATTTATGAAGTGATATTGTATTTATATGAAATAATTGGCTACGTGCTTTCAAAGAATGTCCTTTGGAAAGCACATAGCCAATTATGTTTTTTGTTCACTAACGTTCACTAATGCATTGTGCCCGAGTGTTAAAAGAGCTTTTTTTAATTGAAATAAAAGCATGTTTCAGATATGAAATATCAAAGGAGAAGTTGAAAGAAGATTCTTTCCGCTCATTTGTGTCCATTTTCTTCAAAAGCATATCCCGAAATTTTGTCGCGGAATATTTAACTATATTTAAGTAACCAAGATTTTCAATCCGCTCGAAGTTTAGCCAAAATTTTTATATTTATATTTTTGTAATTATCGAATCGTCTGTTTGATACATCTCCAGTGCAGTTTGCTGTACAGGGTTTCGCCTAATGAAAAACAAAATGTCTCTTGTGTACTCCCCACGCTGGCAAGCGTCGATTCAGTAGTATTTAGTGATCCTCGTGCTAAGTAACGAGTGTATTTGCGAGGGCACCCCCACCGTGGATGCTCTTTAGAGCCTCGGCTGGCGGCTTTAATCAATTCTAATTAAAACCGAAACATTCATCCCATCGACTTTCAACGGGCGACCGTCTACCTGAATGGCGTTATTTACTCGCAACTTTGCAGACGCGGCCGCGACGCGCTCGTGTGCGTTGCGTGTACGTTACGCGGTTGTGTGCGTGCCTCGACTATGGGGTCTTGGCGTGTAGACAATATGTTGTGTTCGTGTAGCGGTGTGAGCTCGATCTGCGTATGTGTGCGCGCTGGTCGTACTCGCGTTCGACCGTTATGTTTTATTTTTGATATTTAGCATTTCATTAAAACGGACTTGGGGTACTAATGCCGTTTCGTATGTCCGCATTTCAATAGAGGCCTTTATAGAGAATTTATTAAATGTGAAGAAGGGCACTGTTGAAGAAACAAATTTCTGTTCTAAATATATAGATCAGTAATTTATATATGTATATCGTATACACAAATAGTTTCTAGAAAAAACTTCAATTTCCGCGTTTGTAAAGGTTGGCATGTCTATTTTGGTTCGCCGTTTTTACATCCTCTTGACATTATTAATTAATGACTTTTTTTAGATAATCCGTATAAAATATGTCAATTATATTATTTTATTGACTTTTCGTTGACGGCATCTTGAAATATCTAAATACTAATATAAATGACAACAAGCTCGAAAAAATATGAAATAACTATGTATCGAATGCAGGAAATGGAGACTTTGTATTTAATTACATCGACCTTCACGTCAATTTCAATAGAATTGAATAAACATAACTGTAATCAGAGTGATTGTTTATATTAATTACATATTGTTTAATTTTCTCTTAAGCTAGCTCAAGCTGGGTAATTTTAGTAAAAGCCAGTTTCGTTAAATTCTTAAGTAGGGACTTATACGAAATATTTAACGAAACTGACTAGAATGCATTTAATAACCACATTATTCATTCAAAGTTTTACTTGCAGTCTATTTGCATGTGGAACATAGAGATTTGGCTTGTGTGGCAATTTCCAGACGTTCAGTTTGCCTTTTCTTGCTCATGGTTAGCAGATCATAGGATACAAAATTATTCCGATTGCTATCCTGTCTTTACCACATCAATGGACCAAAATCATTGCGTTTGGGCTTTAAATTTATTATTTTTTTAAAATTGGCACCCATGCCAGCAATGACCCAACGCCCAAGCGGCAAAATTAATGCATGATACA